CCACAAGGATTTATTTCCTGGAGAAGAGTGGATATTTTCTGGATCCAGGGCTGCCCGAGCTGCTCTCTGCTGCCCCCTGTTGGCTCAGAGCCTGAAGCGTCAGGGGACCATTTTGCCCATAAGTTACATCTGTGGAAATGAAGGTGACTCAAGGCCGTTAAAAACAACTCTAAGCATGCTAAAAGCATCCTTCCTAGAGCCAGTCCTGCCCTGTCATGTGTGGCTTCTTTGAGATACTAATGCCTCAGGTGCCCCTCTGATCTGAGTTTTTTTGAGAAAAAAAAAGTGAAGAGCAGGCTTAGTTTTTACCCACTTGTGGAAGTTCAGGGGACTTTCTGGATTTCCAGAGAATGAATTTGATCAAGTTCTACAAGAACCTAGCAGGAGTCTTTTTATTTCCTCCATTCTCAGTGCTCTTCCAGGTATTATCAACCAATCATTTCTTTCCCATTGAGTCACACTCATCCTTGAAATCCTTCTTAATACAACAACACTCCAAGCAGCCAGTCCTAGTCATTGGTCAGGATGGTGCACAAGATGAAAACTGTTTTACTTCTTGGGGTTTCAAGTTCAACTGCTAGATGAGAGGATGTGGATCAAATTCCCTGTTCTGTGTCTGCTCCAGTGCTCACTATCTCCGAAGGGTCAGGATGCTTCCTGGTTGTGATGGCACAGCACTGGACAAGGTAATTTGAGGTTCTCGGTTTCTGAACTGAAATATATAAGCTATACCATTTAGGAAATGTACTAAAGATAAGTCTCACTCAACTGAGACTAAAAATCATCACTGAGCCACAGAGTGGACAGGTATTTTTGTTAGGGAGCAAACAATATTGTTGTTGGGCAGGCCTGGTGCCCAGGCTGAGTGTTCTGGAAATGGTAAATAAGAGGGTATCTGAATATCACCTGGTGTGTGTTCCTCCAATATTTCTTGTTTCCACTTTGGTGTGGCTGAACTGGATCATGCAGCATCCACTGCCTCCTGACTGAGTGATTGCAGCAGAAGAGAGAAGAAATGTGGGGCCAAATCCTGGGTGCTTAACCTTTTGAACTTTCAATGCTTTTTAAATAAGACCTGGGATTTTTAGTGTCAGAGTACTGAGATGGTAAATAACAGATCTGGAAGAAATTGTGACCACTCTGAGTCATTCCTTATCACTCCCCAGACTGATTCCACATGCTGTTTTGAGTAGAGGATGGGCAGGCAAAGCAGAGATCTCAGATGCGAGGAGACCCCAAGCAGGGGCCCTCCATCCTATCCACCTCCCACTGAGGCCCCAGGCCCCAGAGCAGGAGAAGTTGGGTGTCTAAGAGCAGACATGGCTGAGGATCTGTCCTGGGTAAAGCCTGGGCAGCTGAATGTCTGGCTGAATTTTCCCATCCTAGAACCCAGCAGGCAAAGGAAAAATAAGCAGAAATGGTTACAAGAAGTGTAACCTATATATTTTTTTGACATCAGAGTAGCAGATATCCAATCTCAGTCAAGTCAGTGAGATTTTATTCAGTCTGGGGTTTCACTAGCTCTTGTCCATCATGGGGTGGTTCTGTTTTATTCTGCTTGGGGGCACCAAGGCATGAAGGAAGGAGAAGCTGTTCTCTGTCACCATCTCTCCTGCCGTCATCTACAGAGCTTTCCTGGTCATGGCATCTCTGGGTTCAGTGACCCAAGGGCCCCCAGATCTCAGTGTCCTAGTGTGTGTGAAAACTTTCTGTTGCTTTCTGTGCTTTGTGGATGTGTGGGAGTCCTGGGAGATTTCCACTTAATATGAATTCACATGCAGTATAGGCAAATGATCTACATTAGCCCCTCTGTGACTCAGTTTCTTCATCTACAAAATAGGCATAATAATACAACCTACCTCTCAGGATTGCTGTGGGGATCAAATGAGTTAATGCAACAGTGTCTGGAACACTACAAATGTGTCTGCTCATATTTTTATTTGCTATTTACTTCTTTCAAAGGGGTGAGAGTCAGAAAGGCTGTACATAGAAATACCAAGCATTTTCTATTTAGCACAGGCATTTTGAAGTGGCTTTCTGGGTGGGAGAGGAAAGGGTAAGGTAACAGTCAGGGCTTAAGGGAAACACATAGTTAGTTCTTAGATGCACTGATGTTCAACATCAGACCCAAGAGAGCAATCCTGGAGATGCATCTGCGCCGGGCATACCCCTCCTTCAGTTGCTGGATGGTGAAGAGGAAGTCTTGGGATACAAGGGAAGGTGGCCAAGGCAGTAGGCAGAGTAGGAAGGACACAACCCTCCAGGAGCTCAAGACACTGGCTTTTTAACCAGTCAATGGTATGGCATTCTTGACTTTTTTTTAACAGTGTTTCTTCACCTACCTGGCCCTGGGTATCCCGCAGGAGGGCCCTATGCATGTGAAGGATTGTTGTCATGTCATTATGTCCCTGTCCCCCAGTGAGGGCAGGAAGAGCATCTGGCTGGGGTGTTTTGTTGGGCTACCCTTTGGCTGGGTGTCCATCCAAGTCACCAGGTAAAGAGGCATGACCTTGAATCCAGGGGGGATCAGATGTCCAGTCTGATTAAGCCCATTGAAGCCAGCTTACCTTCTCCTTCATGTAGGCCAACCTGAATGAGCTCCTAAAAATAGAATTTCGCGCTAGGCCTACCCTGAATCAGTTGGCCTTAGCTCACCTCTAGAGCTCCTGGACTCTGCAATTCTCAGGCCTTCTTCTTGGACTGAAGCCTGAGGTGCATCACTGGCTGAGCATTACCTTCTGTACTGTAGCTTCTATTTGCAATTGTCCAGGGGTCACATCAGCTTCTCGAGCAATGTCCCAGCCCAAAGATGACAACCAAGTCTTACCTCCTATGCCAACTTGTATCAGTGCCTGCCTGGAATGTAGTGTTTGGAAGGCGGATACTCGGAGGCGGGGAACAATCATGCAGCACTATCTGCCAAAGGGTCAGGGAGCAGAAAAGGCAACAAATATATGTCAACCCTGCCCCAGGCCCATGAGCTTGAGTGGATTCGTTATCTGAGGGGTACAAGAAGTTTCCAGGGGTGGATTTACCAAAATCTGGAAGCAATCACCAGAGCCTTTTGGTGACTATTAACAATTTACAGGTGGCGGCCAAGGACTGTAAATTGTTAAAAACAGGTAACTAACAGTCCCAGTTGACCTGGGACTGTTTCCTTTTAAGCACTGCAAGTTCCATATCCCAGGAACCCACAGCACCAGGCGAATCAGAACTGCTGCTTATCTCACTGACAAGGCCTTGCCTGCCCCTGCTGAGGGCTGACGCTGCAGCTCAGTCACCAGGAACACACACACTCCCCTTCAGAGGTCAGGGGATGCCCAGTGCCCCTCAGCTGACTCTCACCATGCCTTCAGTGGCTTTTATATGAAATATATGACCAAGATCCCGAGGACTTTTGGTTCCCCTGATTCTTCCACATGCATGAAGATTAAGTATTGTTGACAGAGCCATCTGGAGCCAGGGTACTTCATGGCCCTTACCTGCTCAGGAAATGAGACCTATGAGACTGTGTCCACACAGCACATCTGCTAGCAACTGGCTGACCACAGGGACACGCGTGGACTTGCTTGGAGTCAGGCTAGTTTATTCATCCAACACTCACCTTTCTTCAGATCAGCAGATCCGTTGAGTGCCACCCTTAAATTCCTGGTCAACAGCTTGTACCCAATAAAGCCAAGCCACCTGCACCCAAGAACCCTTTTAAGGTACCCAACTGACACCTGTTTGGCACCCCAGGAAAGAAGACACTCCTCCTTGGTTTTCTCTAGAAATTTACTTTCCACAGCTAGAAAAAAAAGGTGTGTGTGGTGGGGGCGGGGTGGGGGGCGGTGGACAAAAGCAAGACACAGAGCGAAATCATTTGCATCAGTCAAACGTTCAAAGCTAACCATCCAAAGGAAGTCAGGAAATTGAAATTAAATGCAGCTCCTTGGCTTGTGTCCTTTCCATTTCCAACTTGCGAAGAAAATCCTCCACTTGCCCTCACTCAGCTATGTCTGCGCCTGGTGACATCTGTCAGCCAAGGAGTTTAATTGTTGGTAATAGTATTTCCCTGTTATTCGACCACCACACAAATAGCATAAATACAACTTAACCACCCTTGCCAGAAATCGCAAATTTATGCCGTGCCTGCTGAACACCAAGGCTGATTAGCACAAAATTTAATTTTCGTTAATATCAGCCCAAGACAAGTAGAGCATGAAATTAACCTGATGTGTTAATATTGTGCTTCACAGTTCCAACTGTATCCTGTAGACGCTGTCGCTGGAGACAGGTGCCGCTCTGCATGGGGAAGAACTCCCATGCACACTGAGAGGCAGGATGAGGCCCAGGAGGTTGGTGTTCCTGAAGCCGTGAGTGTTCCAAGGAGGCATTGGGTGACAGCTCCTGGAGATGAGTGGCAATCAGAGGTGGTGGTGGGAATTGAGGACCAGTAGCCGTTGAGGTCTTTTCTGTTCCTGGGGCTGAGGGATTTTAAATCTTAAAACAACTTCCGCAGGCCAGATGCTGTTATCTAAGAGTGGTTGGCCAAATACCACCCGAAAACTGAATCCAGGCCACCGTTTAGCCCTTGAGCTAAGAATTTTTTTCACATCTTTAAATGGTAAGGAAAAAAATCATATGAAGATTATTTTGTAATGTGAAAATTATATGAAATTCAAAGTTTAGTGTCCACAAATTTTCCTGGGACTCAGTCATGCCCATTCATTCTGTTCTTATCCACCTTCTCTCTACAACAGCAGCCCTGTGTGGTTGCAACAGAAACCTTACAAACTGGAAAGCCCTAAATATTAACTATCTGGCTCATTGCTAGAAATGATTGCCAACCTCTGATCTAAGACAATAATAGTTTTCAAATGAGTTCTTTGGAGAAGCGAGGAGGACAGGACTTCATGCTTTTGCCAAAGCAGCTGTCTTTGTGTCAGTTATACACAGTGTGTTTTTATTTGGAAAAGAAGAAATTATACCTAAACAAGATCCAGGAGATGTACAAGAAGTTAAAAATACTTTCCCTTTTGAGGTGATTTTTGTGATTTGTGAATGGTGGGCTGCAAGGTGGCTCCAGGAAATCTCCAGAGACCTAAGACTCGACCAAAATGCAGTTCAAACAAAAGTTTTGTGTGTGTGTGTGTGTGTGTGTGTGTCCACAGGTGCGCCTCCAACCAAGGGTCTTAGCTCCAGGGCAAGTGTATAGGGAAATACAATCCTCATGGAGCACATTACAGGGATTTTCCTGTGTGTTCAAACTTCCCTTCCCTCTCTGGCAACACATACTTAGTCATGTTCAAATAAATTTGCTTAATTATTAATTAAGCCATTCATAATAGCTTACGACGAATATTTATGACAAATCCTTATGACATATATTTATGACAAATCCTGGGAAACTGTAAGTGTGACTGTGTTGGGGGAAGGTCCTTGCAGAAGTGATTAAATTAAGGCTCTTAAAATCAGGAGATGATCCTGGATTATCTGGGTAGGCTCTAAATGCCATCACAAGCTTCCTAATAAGATACACACAAAGAGCAGAAGCCATATAGAGGAGAAGGTAATGTGACAATGAGGCAGAGACTGAAATGATGTGACTTCCAACCCAAGAATACCAGGATAACCACCAGGAGCTGGAAGAGGCAGGAAGTGGATTTTCCTCTAGAAACTGTCATACATTGGACTTCTGGTCTCCACAACTGTGAGAGAATGAATTTCTGATGCAGTAAGCCACTAGATTTCTAATAAACTTGTTCCAGCTGCCTCTAGAAACTAAGACACAATCACAAAAGGGTTTTCTCATGAATAGTATCCACAATGCTGATGTAATTTTCATTACTTTGTGTTGAATACCTATGTATCACTCAAAAGCCTATTCATGGGTTTCATCTCATAAATTATGCTATAGGGAAAGCACAAAGTAATTTTAAGTCCCTGGCACATATTATGTTCCCAATAAACCAGAGCTCTGTGCATACTTTTCTCAAGGCAGAATCAGTCACCCCATCCTTTGAGGTCACAGGGCTCTTCAGACATGTTTTAATTAGCACTTCCCTCTAAACTAGGCATCTGTGTTTTTGATGTCCGTCACCCCTCGTGGGTAAGCTATGAAATTCTTGGGAGCAATGAATATCTCTCATTTTTTAAATACTTTTTATTGAAATTTAACATATACAATAAGGAGCCTGTATCTTAAGAGTATCAAAGAACATTTTCAAATGTTACGTCTAGGCAGCCACTACCCAAATCAAGATATAAAGCATTTCTAACACCCTGAAGCCTCTTCCATGCCCCACTCCCAGCCAATACCTTCTCCAAAGAGTAGCTACCATTCTGACTTAATGCAGTTAGTTTTGCCTGTTTTCGAATATCATAAAAATGAAATCAGATAGTATATACTCTTTTGAATATGGCCTCTCTCAGACAGCATAATGTTTTTGAGATTTATCCATGCTATTGTGTGTAGCAATAATGAGTTCTCTATTGTATGAAATTACCACAACTCCTCAGATGGACTCTGAGGAGTTTCCCATTTGGCATTATTACAATGTGTGCTGCTAGGAAGATTCTTGAACATAGTTAGCCAGGTAGGAAAGCCCTCTTCCCTGTTAGAGACTGACAGGGGTAGAACTTCTAGATCACAAAGGAGGTATGTAAGCAACTTCAGTAGATACTACTGAATACCTCTTTCTACACCTTATGCTGTACAAATTTGTATTTACTCCATCAGTGGATGAAATTTGCAGCAATGTACCAAATCCTTACCAAACTGAGTCATTTTATTTATTTATTTATTTATTTATTTAGCTATTTTAGTTGTTGATGGACTTTTATTTTATTTATTTATTTATATGCAGTGCTGAGGTTCAAACCCAGTGCCTCACACACGCCATGCTAGGCAAGCACTCTACCACTGAGCTTCAATCCCAGCTCCTCTAGTTACCTTTTAAGTTTAGTCATTTCGGTAGTAACTGATTCATCTTTGTATTCCTCTGTACTAGACCAAAATTTGTACTAACATGATTCCACATTTTTCTTGCTGGCTCTAGTGGGCAGGTAGACATCTGGCCAAAAGCCAGGTAAACCTAGGGCAGCTTCCAACTGATCCTGCCTGGAAAAAAAAAAAAAAAAAAGAGAGAGATGGGTCAATTTGAGTCCCTTCTCTCAGAGATTAAAGCAACAAAAATAAAGAGAGTAATACAACCTTCAACAGGAGCAAATAATGAAAACAGTAATGGCTATGATTAATCAATACAAGACAAAGGCATGAGAAATTGTAAGGAGGCAGACATTATAACAGAAACAATGCAGAGCAGAGGGGAAGGAAACCAGCTGGGACCAGGACAGACAGAAGCAGATACCATAAGAATAGCAATGAACCACAGCAGAGAGCCCAAGGCCCTGTTCTAAGGTCACTATAGTGTCCTTGGATTCAGAACAACCTCCAGCCCCTCCCCTCTGCTCCATATAGCCCTGGATAGGCCTGTTCTTGAGTCTCCCTGGTAGCCTCCACACCTTTCTCTCAGTAAGTACCCTTACCAGGAGCCCTTCCTCACTTCAGTTGTAATACTTTGGAGCCTTTTTTTCTTGCAAATAAAAAAGTTCAACTTCCATGCCTGATATGCAGTATCAGTAATATGCCAGCAAATAGTTAATAATCAACCACCTAGGAATTAAAAGCCCTGATTAGAAAAGTTTGCCAAAATCTTGATGTAAATACTCCCACCATGGCCAATTTCAAGCTATCATGTGACATCATTAAACACAAGCAACTGGAAATAGCACCCCATCATATAATATTTTCACCACATTGGTGCAATAAATGGAAATATAATCTCAAGAGCATAGATAGTTGTAAGATAATTAGTTGAGTATTCCTACTCAATCTGGATGTAACTGAATATTTAATACCTTTGTTTTTTATTGGTGCATCTCAATTATACAGAATGGTGGGTTTCATTGTGACATATTCTATTACCTTTATTTTTTAATATAATTTATTTAAGTTTATATAATCTAATTTTTTATAATGGTGATGCTTAATAACTAGCTCACAAAAAATCCTGAAAATTTAACAATCAGCTGGCAGGGCCAGCTCTGACATGCCACTGAAGTAGATGCCCACCAAATGTTTGAATCCTTTCTGGCCTTCTCTATGTTATGACAAGCTCCTCATTGTGCAGAACCCACCTGCCTGGCTCCTAAGCCAACGGCACATCCATGTATGAGTAAAACCAATCATATGATGACAATGTTATACACAATTTTCCACAGTAGATTACTATTGGTGACATTCAAAACCATGGAAATGGGCACGACATATCTCTATTTACCAAGTCATAGGGCCTGGACCTTTCTGGTTTGGAAGTTTGTTTTGCTTTGTTTTTATTTCATCCAACAGCTCAGAAAACACAAGCAGGTATGCAGGATGTTAAGTGTTCACAGAAAACCTTGACTTGCTCAAGTGGCTCCTGGATCAAAAACTCCAACACATCTGATCTCCTTCCATGTGCCCACCACCCTGCTAGCACACACACATACACACAAAAGTCAATCATGGGTGTAGTAAAAGTTGCAGTTTTTGCCCTTAAAAAGTTTTTAAATACTGATAACTGACATTTAATGCTTTTCTGTGTAACAAGATGCTTCTTTTATGTTGGTAAACCGAGTTAATCCTCACAAGGATTCTTTGTGGTAGGCACTACATTGTCTTCCTAATTTTACTGATATGGAAAATAGGGCACAGATAGGTTAAATAGGAGCCCAAGTTTAACTACACGAATACAAGTTTTTGAACCCAAGAATCCAGGCTGATAGCCACTGGACTACCTCACCGCAGAAGGCTAGAAGATGAAGATAATGAGAGAGTGTGTGTAAATACATTAAGATCAGAGAAGAAAGTAGAAAATATGGGGTGAATTATTCTCAAATGATAACTTGCAAATAGCCTTTAGCCTAAACTTAGACATATATAAAGACATGAATGGTATGACCCTATTTTGTGTACAACCAGAGACATGAAAAATTGTGTACTATGAATCGAAATGCATTATGCTGTCAAATATAGCAAATTAGGATAAATAAATAATTGTTTTAAAAAGATGAGCAGGATTTGGATAGACTTCAAGGATGAGCTGGGTAGCTTTAGGGGAAGAGAGCTGGGTACATGAAGGCCTAAGAGCAGGAATAAGCACTAGGCATATCAGGATGAGTGTAGGGAAATGTGTTCGCGGAAGAGGTAGAGGACACCTTAAGGGTGACGGGTTCATGCACTATATTGATTGTGGTGATATCACAAACGTGTCCATGCACGATGGCTTATCAGATTGCATACTTTATATAGATACAGTATATCATATTTGACTTAGACCTTGGGGATGCTGTTTTTTAAAACTGAAAATATAAAGTTGACATATAGCATGATTCAATTTATATGCCATCCTCTAGACCAAAACAAAAACAAAACAACAACAACAAAAACACCCTAGATCAATAGTTAACAGGAATGGGGTATGAGGGAAAAGAGAATTTGGGGATAAAGGAGTAATAGACATATTCTATATCTTAATTGTGGTGTTGATTACATATTTACATTCTTTTTGTCAAAAACACTTAGAACTGTATGCTTAGCAAGGATGAATTTTACTACATATATCTATATATCAATAAACCTGACTTTAAAAAAAGATTACATGCAAACAGATACACATCTGCAAGTATTTGTAAATGGGGGTCAATAAATAAATCTTTCTCCTCCTGCTGGGGCTGAAATGCTGAAAACCCCAGTGCAGACTTCAAAGACGGACTTCCCCCATGTGTGTATTGCTTTTTATATTTTTAAAGTCTTCTCATATCCATGTGTCATTTGATCCAGTCACCAACTATAGGAGGAAGCGAGGGGACAGGTTTGTGTACTCATAGGGGAATAAGGATACTGTGGCCAGGGCGGTTAAATAATCCTCACACAGTTCAGAAGGGATGGAGTTAGGCCTGGTACTGGCAGACCTTCTCGTTTTTAGCCTGCTGCTCTTCCCATACACTCACCAACCATTCCCAACCCACTCCCAGCTTTGAGGTCCTTCCTCATTGCAATCCATGGCCTTTTTTTGGTACTGGGGATTTAACCCAGGGGTGCTTTACCACTGAGCTACATCTCTAGCCATTTTTGTTTTTTATTTTGAGACAAGGTCTCACTAAGTTGCTGAGGCTGACCTTGAACTTGTGATTTTCCTCCCTCAGCCTCCCAAGCCACTGGGAATAGAGGATGTGGCCACTACACCCAGCACAGTCTATGATCTTGTGTGTCCAGAAAGAAGAAATCCAAACCAAGACCCCCATCCTAGGGTCCCTCCACATTCAACTCACAGTGGCATGACTGATAATTGATACCGATAGCATCTGGGCTCATCACTCAACATGTCCACTCCTTAGAGGGACCAAAGCAGTCTTCCTTCCCCATTCATAACCCCAATCTAGCCATGAGAAAAACAGCAGACAAAACCAAAGCCAGGGTGACTCGGGAAGCTGAGACAGGAGGATCGCAAGTTCAAATCCAGCCTCAGCAAAGGTGAAGGGCGCTAAGCGATTCAGTGAGACCCTGTCTCTAAATAAAATACAAAATAGGGCTGGGGATGTGGCTCAGCATCAAGTACCCCGAGTTCAATCCCTGGTACCAAAAAAAAAAAAAAAAAAAACCAGAGCCAGAGAAAGCCTATAAATTCCTGATTGATACTTCTCAAAACTTTCAAGGTTATCAAAAACAAGTAAAGGTTAAGAAACTGTCACAGCAGAGGAGACTAAGTAGATGTACCAACTAAGTGTAATACATACGGTGGGTGCCCTGAGGGGATCCTGGGACAGAAAAGGGGCATTAGTAGAAAAGCCAGTGAAATCGGAATCAAGACTGGAGTTCAGTTCGTAATAGTCATGTGCCAGTGTTTGTTCCTTAGTTTTGATGAAGGAGCCAGGGTAACATAAGCTGTTAACAACAAGGAAGATGAGGAGATGGGCATATGAGAACACTGTGCTGCCTTTATCTTTCCTGTAAAACTCAAATCATTCCAAAATAAAGAGTTTATTTAAAAGAATCTTGGTGGAGGCCCTAGATGCTTTTGTCCTTCACTGTTGAATCTTTTCTCAACAAACAAAGGGCATATTTTATTTTTAGCCTGGATAATTAATTTTCAGGCCAAGGACAGGAGCTTCTGTCCCAAGGACCCTCCAGGCTCCCAAAGCAGCCTGAAGATGGAGTCATCCAGCACCCCCACCCCCTAGCCCTTAACTTTCTGCCCAGGGGTAGCAACACCTGGCTCTTTGAACACAATAAAATCATCATGGAAACGTATAGATCTGGACTGCTGAGGTCAGAGGGCAAGGGCGGCCTCAAGGCTGCTCTCTTGAAGTCTTGCTTGCTGGTTGGATCTGCTCTGGGCAGGATCACTGCTGGAGGTCGCTAGGGACAGGTGTCCCATCTGAGGCCAGGAGACTACAGTGCTCCCTGTGAATAAAGAAGTGTGTGAGAAAGAGAGACCGACAGGCAGACAGGCAGACAGAGACGGAGAGGGGAACTGAATGCTGAATGCGGAGGTCATGGTGAGTGACCTGAGACAGGCTCCTGGAAATAATCCCTCAGCAGGGAAGTGGCTAGTCCTTTTGGAAACCAATGAAGCAAGAAAGTGGTGTTGACCAACCTATTGTGCAGGCCATTTTTATTATCAGCAAATAAATGAGAGGCTGAAACTGTCCTTTAGTACCAAGACTAATAGTCTTCGTGATTCCTTCCCTCTCCTGACTCCATCCAGCTTCTCACCCTGCATTCTGCCCATCTTGCCTGCACATAATTGTTTTTTTTTTTTTTTTGGTTGCAATAATCACTGTAGCTCTCCATCTTTCTGCAATGGGCTTTCCCCCTTTCCTCTTCTCCTCTCATCCTCTCTTAAAGAATTATTCTGTTTCTCAAATGTGGCCACTCACTTGAGACCTTAACCCTGCTTGCGCCCTTGGTGGCAGCCCGTAGCCCACAAAGCAGCCACACCAAGCCATGCCCCTGGCACAGCTTCAAGGGCCGGTAGTTTGCTCCAACAGGTACTGCTGAATGAGCCTGCCCAGGCA